CCTGCGGCCAATTGTGTGATATGACCAACTTAGCACATCAAATGTCCACAGTGAATGTACAAGAGAATGTCCCGCACAGGCAGCAGAACGATTGCTACTCTACCTGGTGCTCTTCGACATCTCCAAGTGTCAGGTACCAGATCCCTGCAGCAATGGATGGCGCTTGCCCGATAAGGTGCGGCTATCTTATCTTTCCGCCTAACCTCTTTGCGACGGAAAGCTTCCGCGTCCAAGCGCGATCCTACGCTGACGGAAGAACAGTCATCAGGTTGGTATACAAGCCAAGGGCCATTCTACAGCATGGATGCGACCGGAAATTTGCCGTTTTCTAGAAACGTAGTAAACTTTGTTGAACTAGTGACTTTTTGGACCAATCAGTCATCTCAAACCCGGCAAAGGGTAATACGTGGGCGTAGGGCGTAGCCCATGTCAACAGCGTCATGCTCTATGCTAACTAGTATCTCCGACTAGTAGGGACTCGCCAGTAAGATAAATAGTATAGATGTTCGCGATGCTCTAAACGTGTCCGTCCGAGTGTTCGCATCTACCCTTTTCAACATGTCGCAAACAGCAACGTCAATTGAACTTGTGGACTACCATGAGACAACAATCCCAGCCCTCGCAGCCAAACCACTTGGCGCTGCAAAGATCAAAGACGCGCCGTCTATCGCTGATGATCTACGACCTATCCATGAATCTCCTGAAACCTTCGCTGCCGAACAGAGAGATGGTCCAGGCAAAGGAACAACAGCCATCGTATTGGTAACGGTCGTGTGTGTTACACTGGTCAGCTCCATGCTTTCTGGTGTTATGACTGTTACTCTACCCACAGTTGCACGTGAACTGGAGCTGGCACCCAGTGTGCTCTTATGGTACCTACGATTACGTGCTGTCCCATACGCACTTGCTGACGCACACCAGGCCTATCTCTATCTACGCCTTGACATGTGGCTGTACTCTTCTCCTTCTCGGATCGGTTGCCGATGTTGTCGGTTCACGGCCCATGTACCTGACAGGTTGTCTCTTGCAGTCTGCGTTTACACTAGCATGTGGATTGGCACAGACAGGGACACAGCTCATTGTCTTTCGCGCCTTTGCAGGCATCGCGATTTCCTTCTGCCTTCCCTCAGCTGTCAGTATCATCACGAGTACTTTTCCTGAAGGCAAGAGCAGAAACATTGCATTTGCGTCCATGGGCGGTGGTCAACCCATAGGCTTTTCTTTTGGACTTGTACTTGGAGGTATCTTCGCTGATACTATCGGATGGCGATGGGGTTTCCACATCAGTGCCATCGCCAACACCATTGTCTTCGTCCTTGGCTTATTTGGTTTGCCAAAAGTCGACAACAAGCTGCCGCATGTCTGGTCCCGCCTGAAGAGCGATATAGACTGGGTAGGCATCCTGTTCGGAAGTGCGTCATTGGCGCTGCTCTCATATTGCTTCGCGTAAGTGGTGCCTTGCCTCTGAAACTGAAACTGGAAGCTAACATGACCAGTCTGATCTCCGAAGAGACTGCAAAGATTCAGGAGCCTACCACGCTTGGTCTGCTGATCACTGCAATCGCTCTCATTCCTGCTTTCATCTTCTGGGTCGGCCGCCAGGAGCGACTGGGCCGGCCCGCCATCATCCCCAATTCGCTTTGGCGCAACCGAATCTTCAGCATCATCTGTATCGGTGTTTTCATCACGTGGGGGACTTTCAATGCTGTGGAATCATATCACACTCTCTTCTTTCAGAACGTCCAAAAGCTATCCGCGATCCAGACGTCGATCCGGTTCCTGCCCGGACCTGTAGCTGGAGCTCTCGCCAATGTCGCAATGGGCCTGATTGCGCACCGGGTACGCGCTGACTGGGCGGTAGCCGTGGGGCTGTTCTGTACCACTCTTGGCGGACTGCTTATGTGCATCATACAGCCGGAGTGGTCTTACTGGAGCTGTGCCTTCCTTTCTGTCTTCTTCAATCCTATTGGCGCGGACGCTCTATTCACGGTTTCTAACCTGGTCATTACATCAGTGTTTCCAGCCCGGACGCAGGGCCTTGCGGGCGGAGTTTTCAACACAGTAGCGCAGATTGGGAAAAGCGTAGGCCTAGCGACCAGTGCTGTCATTGCGTCTAGTGTTACCGAGCACTCGGTCTACGTTGAGAAAGAGAGCCCTGCAGCGCTCATGGAGGGGTTCCGGGCGGCGTTCTGGTATCTGTTCGCATTGAGCTGTGCCACAGGGCTGTTGCTGGGATGGGGGCTGAGAGGAATCGGGCGGGTGGGGATGAAGAGGGAGTAGACGTGATGCGGAGGACAGAGTAGAGAGATGGTAGCTGAGTTGTAGTAATTGAAGTTGGAGTTCCCCTGCCAAGTGTTGCACTGCACCGGACGGTGGTGGTGAAAAGGCTTGGTTCCAGGTTGTGGTCCAGGGCTAGTGAGAGTTTAATGCAAGGATGTGGGTTTCGGGCTCGCCAGTGACGCGCAACTGAGTACGGGATGCTCCACCGTAAGTCGAGGCAGAGCTGACGACGTTGACGACCCCGGCGCCGCTTGCTTCCCGCGCAATGATCCTCACCACGGTCTCGAACACCTCTCCACAACCATCAATGCGGTGAAAGGCTGCCGTGTACCCGTCAAGATGCTCAGCGGACCACCGAGGATCATTCCACTCGTCTCCCTCTTCGTCGCCGTCTGCCTCGTCTGGTGGTATCTCCACACGGTGCCCGGCGCAGGCTCGTCGATTCCAACATGGAAATCTGGCGCCTCCGCAAACCAACATCGGCCCTCATTGCGCGGCGACCCACTCGACTTTGGCCTGCCGCTGCGCTTCAGCGACGGCGAGAAGAAGCCGCCCGGCAGCAACTACACATTCAAGATTGTCGTGCCCAAGACACAGAAGGAGGACATTAGCTGGATGGCCGCTGAGATACCCGATGCACCGCTCGTCGTCTACGAAGTCGACAACCCTAATGCCGAGCACAAGATCCCCAAGAACAAGGGCCGCGAGGCCATGGTACGTTTGCACCTCTGGCACATAGACGGCCACACTCTAACCCACCCACCAGGTCTACCTCTCCTACATCATCGACCACTACGACGACCTCCCCGATACCTCCATCTTCATGCACGCCCACCGCCACGCCTGGCACAACAACATGCTCCTGGGCCTCGACGCCGCGCAGATGATCAAGCGCCTCAACCACGAGCGCGTTGCACGCATGGGCTACATGAACGTCCGCTGCCACCACGACCCGGGCTGCCCGGACTGGATCCACATGGACCGCCCTGGCGGCGACTTCGACTTCTTCCACAAGCCCGAGGAGATCTATTGGCGGCGCAACATCTGGGAGGAGATCCACCCTGGTGCTCCCATCCCGCCTTCCATTTCCGGCATCTGCTGCGCGCAATTCGCCGTGTCGCGGCAGCGCATACAGGAGGTGCCCATTGAGCGCTTTATCCACTACCGCAAATGGCTCCTTACAACGGGCATGGACGACCAGTTTTCCGGCCGCATCTTCGAGTATATATGGCACTACATTTTCACAGGGCATGAAGTGCATTGTCCGGCCATGAACACGTGTTACTGCGACGGCTACGGCATCTGTTTCGGCGGCCAGGACAAATTCAACGATTACTTCAAGAAACAGGACGCGCGAAATGAAAAGTTTACAGAACTAGACAAGTTCAACAAAAGGGAGGAAGAGGCGAAGAAGAATGGCGAGGATCCCGCGTTTACCCAGGAGGAGATTGCGAAGATTACTGCGCTTAGGACTGAGATCTCGGCGCAGGACCGCGAATTGGATACCCTGAGAGAGGACGCGAAGAAGAGGGGTGAAGATCCCAAGGCGAGGAAAGAGGAGACGGAATCTTGGGATTCGAGTCATATTTGGGATTATGCGCCAAAACATGATTAGCCTGATTATCGCTGGAGGGGATTTTCTGATATCACAGCTCTACAATACATGGCGGTAAAGGCGTTCATGGAGAGGCGTTTCGAGTGGGGCGTACGTATGGACATGGGGAGCTTGCGCCGGGCATGAAATACTTGCATTAGATTATTCATCTTCACAATGTTTAGCATATGTTGTTCTTTCAGATAGATCTAACACGCATGTCATGCGATTGTTGGTCGTATATTGATCTGAAATAGCAGGTAAAAGCTACGGTTGTACATGTGAACGAGCATCACGCTCATCATGCCACGGTCGCTAGTAAGAGCAATAGCTTTACCTGTGTTATTCCCCTAATAGTTGGCATGTGCTATTTACATACACATAGTAAAGGCAATGCCCCCACTGTTCGTTGGATTTCCGGGGACGCTGCAGGCTGCAATCACCCGTGGACGTGCACGTGCTAGGGTAATCATTACTCCAGCTCATTCTATATCCATCAACCCATCTCCATCGCAAGAAACCGTGTATCTCGGAATCTCGGTGCAAGCTATTCAAGAACGACCGTAATCAAATATCGATAGTAAATTCCCTAATGCGATGATCACGTCCCTCCAGCCTCTTCGTGAGCAGGTGGCTAGTGCGCTTGCCTTGGTGAGGCACCGCTGCCTGCTATCTCCAGATGTCGCTACCACATTCTGAACTTGAGACTTGCCACTTGTTCTAACCCACCAAGAGGATGTTTTGATGCCGTCCTAGACAGTGAGTTTGGTCTGGGGTCACGTTCTCTTTGTTGTCTACAGTTTGACTGCGAGGTGTCCTGGATCCTTTGTTGGCCGCACGCTCAGTCGTTGCAAGAGCTGGATTTCACCGGTCAACCGTCACCCGCGCATTCACCTTGACTGGAATAGTATGGCTGCGGCCTAATTCGGAGCTCAACACGGCCTTTCCAGCGTTCGGCCATCCTTCACCGCTGTAGAGCGCGCCTGAATTGCCTACACAGTAGATCCGCAAGCAGATAATGCCACCTGCCCTTACCAAAGACAGTATTATATTATCGACACCGGACTCTTCAATGCGGCAGCAAGGCCCACAGAGCGAGAACACAACACGTCGAAGCCAACCGACCATGCGTCCGTCGGCGACTAGCGACTTTGCACGATCGCATGTAGCCAATTGGTCACCACCAGTACCCATTACGCCTGAGTTGGAGGCTCTACGAGAACTCAAGACTGAGTGGAAGCGACACTCTTCCGGGTACCCTTTCTGCGATGGGAACGAATCTGGCAAGAAGCTTCTGATCGTGGATCTACAAGATTTCGAAATCTACCGAACACCAGACAGTGAGAAGAGGGCATATGAATTGATCAGCCTTCACTACCTCGAAATTCCTATCACTAAGAAGCTTTGTTTTGACGGCTTCATATGCTTAGGCACCACCAAGCATTTTGTGCACGCTGTGCCCATTGAGGATACTTCTATTGAGGGCTACGGAGACCTAGAGACTGCCAGTGTCACAACTTACATACAATCGACTCTCGCAGCCAAAAACACTGTGTATGACATCTGGTACAGGCTCAAGAAAGCCGCCCCAGGTTACAGGAAATTCCACAAATCATTCGTTTGGGTTGCGCAACTGGGAAAGCATGTGATCGACTACCTGGAATCGGCGGGCAGTGTTGGATTCCACGACTTTCGCGAGGAATTTCATGCTTGGATGATGACGCAACGATTCGCTCAATGCTCAGACTTCGAACGATGGCACGGTGCGTTCAGACACCAAACTGACTTTCGCGTTGGCGTCAACGCGTATATTGAATACTTTTACCATCAGGCCTTCAACCTCCCGAACTCGAGACAGCTGCTAGCGCACCCATTATGGAGTGAATGCTTGACTAAAGGTTTGACGGCTGTCGAGATTCAAGAAGAGGTCATCAAGCAAACCATCGCTACGCCTGGGGTTTTTGATTGTTTCAAAGACATGTATTTCGGTGGGCAACTACGCAAGCAAAGTCCAGTAGAGACCATCGCCATCGAACGGAAGCGTCGGAAGCGCAAACTCGGTTTCGCTAAACGTGGATCAACACGACAGACAACAGCAACACGACCAAACGTCTGTATACCGTACGGAAACTCACCAGTAAGGGTAGGCGACATTATCGCACTAATCCCAGACGAGACAGACTCAAGGGTTTGGCGAAATACGAACTGGGACTGGCTTGCCTACGTCCAGACTACGGTGCTTCTGAAGAACGGAGTCCAGAAGCTATTTGTGCTATGGATTTATCGACATCACGAGACCAATATCTCTATAGCTAGGTATCCTTATGAGAACGAGGTCTTCCTATCCGATAACTGCAACTGTACCGAGGGAGAACTATTATCCACTAACATCAAGGGAAGGTACGACGTAGACTGGTCGCCAACTACAATCGATACCAACCACTTCTTCATCCGCCAGACGTATGTTACTCAGGATAGCGCTTTCGTAACCGTCCAATCCTCACATATGACTTGCACATGTCTAAAACCCAAGAGCTCGCCTGAGACTTACCACCGTGGCGACACGGTATACATGACAAGAGCAATACACAAAAATCAAATCCTGGATCCAGTCGTCGTTCAGTACATCGATCACGCTAATCAAACGACCACGATACGCAAACTACTAAGACTAGAGCGTGACTGCGAGGAGCTGGCAATGAAGGCTGGGCGAAACGATCTCCCCCCAAATGAGCTTGTGCTAACTGACGAATATGAGGTGGTGGCCTTATCTCGTATCCAGAGACGCTGCTATATCAAGTTTGTTTCCAAATCTGACATTGTAAATGGCCGTATACCATTCACATACAACCGTGGTGGTGCAGGTGATCTTTGGTTTCTAGCTATGGGAATGATCACGAAGGCACAGGAGAAGTGCCTCGTCTTCCTGCGCAGTCTTCCAAACAGTTTCGACGAAGGCCCTGATATGACTTTCTCTCAACAAACCTTGCGAGGCATGAGCCTGTTCAGTGGCGGAGGTTCTCTCGATCGAGGCCTCGAAGAAGGTGGTGCAGTTGTCTTCGACTCTGCTGTTGATTTCAGTCAGCATGCCATTCATACTCAACGAGCGAATTCGAAGAACCTCGAGGCAATGTCTCTGTTTTGTGGTTCTGTCGACGATCACTTCAATGCAGCTCTGAAGGGTAACAGACCAAACATCATCCCTCAAGTTGGAGACGTTGATCTCATCGCTGCCGGATCCCCATGTCCTGGGTTCTCAGCCCTCCAGCGAAATTTTCTTAGTGAGCAGTCACTGCGTAACGCATCGCACATCACTACGTTTTGTTCGTACGTCGATCTGTATCGGCCTTTGTATGGTATCCTCGAGAACGTGGTCAATATGGCATCAACGCGTGTTGGATATGAAGACCAAAATGTCTTATCGCAGGTGGTTGCTTGCCTTGTTTCAATGGGCTACCAGTGCAACCAGTACATCATGGATGCATGGAGTTACGGTAGCGCGCAACAACGCTCGCGCTTGATCCTCACTATAGCAGCTCCATGTTACAAGCAACAAAAGGAACTCCACCCTTGATGAAGGAGTCGGCACAGAACGCCAGCCGGCGACCACGTCAGAAGGTAATGATCAACGCGGGGCGCTGATCACGTGATGTGGCCTCCCGCCAAGC